GGATGTTGGCTAGCCGTAATAGGAAACGACGCAACCAAGCAAATTCGGCATCAAACCCATCTCCAGTGGGTTCCCCGGTGGTGCAAGCAAACCAGAGTAATGTGGAGGCTTCGGGATCACGTTTTGACGTCTTAGATGACCTCAATGATGAATTGCGTGAAACCCCAACAACACCATAGAGATTGAGCTAGAAACCACTGTCGAGAATACCACTGGGACTAGGGTAGTGGGGACGCAGGTGACAAAGTCCAAAGGCAATGTGATACCAGCTGTAGGATCAAAACCCAAAAAACGAGCGACAGAGGGGGCCAAGAAGAATGGCAATATACTAAAGCCTAGAGACTTAAACAAGAAGGATGACCAGGCTTTAGGAGGTACTGGTAAGAGTCGGATTGAGAAGGAAAAAACCAAGGATGGGGTAGCGGGGCAAAGCAATAACCGAGTGAGCACAGCAATAACGTTCACACCGGTGCTCCCCGCAGCACCAACCCGTCCTCACTCAAGGGAACAAACATAGCTCCGACTCTGCTAAGGGTAGGGAAGGGAGGAGCCCGCAACCTGGACTCAATTTTGACCCTCCCAAATCAGGTGTGGCGGCAACAACCCTTGAGGAAAATAGCGTGAAGAATAAGAGTGCGGAAGCCATGCATGCTACGTCTGGCATGGACGTGGATGCAAGCTAGAATCTTCTCAGGGAGTCTCTTTCCCTTTGCTTTGTTTTCCTTTTTGTATTTCCTTTTGGTCCTTTCATCTTTTTTGTTTATCCATGTTAAAAAAAAATTCGTGGAACTGCAGGGGTGCAGCTAGGGATGGCAATGGGTAGGGTCGGGTGCGGGTTTACCCTATACCAACTCCTAACCCGCCGGGTAGAGCCTTCTAAAATACCTGACCAAATAACCACCGGGTATGAAAATTATATAACCATACCCTACCCACCGGGTAACCACGGGTATTCGGGTAACCATGGGTACGAATCCTAAACTATGAACTTATACACATATATGCACATACATACTGTTGTCCATTAATTTTTTTTCAATACTTGTAACTGTTCTAGCTTCAACAATCAACACAAATAAAAACAACAAACACATAATTGTTCTTGCTTCTATAATCCACACAAACATAATAATAATCATGTACATCTTCATCATCAATAATGGTAGCTAAACTCAATTTCTCAAGCTAAATTAAATTTCTCAAGGGAAATTGACCCTTTGGTTAGCGGGGCGGGTATTATCGATTACCATACCCGTACCCTACCCTTTATTTTGAAACCGGGTATTACCCGTACCCGCCCCTTAACCCGTCAAAGCGGGTAATTACCCTCGTTGACCGGTTTACGGTCGGGTAGGGTACCCATGGTTACGCGTTGGATTGACATCCCTAGGTGAAGCTGACCCCAACTTCTTAACCCATTTTCGTGAATTTAAGAGGACTCACCATCCTACGATTGTTTTTATATCAAAACCCAAGATCAGTGGAACCGAGGCGACAATTGTTATCCGGCGGATGGGGTTTGATTCTGAATCTAGATCGGAAGCGCGTGGTTTCGCTGGTGGTATCTGGGCGTTATGGAACTCATCGGAAGTGAATATGGAACCTATAGATAGTACAGAGCAGGTCATACATTTTAGCATTAAGGTCGTTGATGGCACCGAGGGAAGAATCTCAGTGATCTATGGCAGCCCTGCTCTGGCGAATCGCAAACATCTTTGGGAGAAGCTTCGGAGCATATCTAGCAGGACCACAATGCCCTGGATCCTCGTGGGTGACTTCAATGCGCTTCTTAGACCTCAGGACAAGCATGGCGGCTCCAATGCATTCTCCCATCAAAGTTGAGATTTCAAGCAATGTGTAGAAGACTGTGGCCTGATTGACGTCAACTTTGCTGGCCCCCGGTTCACATGGGGACGAGGATCACTGAAGGAATGATTCGACCGAGCGATATGTAACTCCAGTTGGATGCAGAAGTTCCCTGAGATGATGACCAGACACTTGGAAAGGGTGAAATCCAATCATCGTCCCATCCTGGTGGCAAGCGAATCCCCCACTGGGCGAGGAAGGAAAAGCCAACCCTTTCGATTCCTAGCCCCGTGGCTGCTACATGGTGACTTTGGGAGGGTCCTGCAGGAGAGCTGCGCAGCTGGAACGGGCTTTGAAAACTCCATCCATATGTTGACCGATAACCTCAGAGTTTGGAACAAGACTGTTTTTGGCAATATTTTTGCTCGCAAAAAGGAGCTGGCGACTACCCTTCGCTAGCTAGAGGAGAGGAACGAGTCGAACCCTTCAGCACAGACCATGGCGGGGGAAGAGGAGGTGCGACGCAAGCTGTCCTTAAGGAAGAAGAAGTGTTTTGGTTCCAAAAATCAAGATCACAATGGTTTGTTGAAGGAGACAAAAATACTCGCTTCTTCCGCCTCACTACCCTCCAACGTCGGATTAGAAACAAGATTAAGAGGCTGAAGAATGACATGGGCGAATGGAGTGAGAACCCGGAAACCCTCAAGGATCTTGTTCGGGACTTTTATCGCTTGGCGTTCATAGAACTGGAGGAATCAGGAAGATCTATTATAGCCAACTTCCCGAACATGGTGACGTCGGCTGAGCCTCTTGCACGCTCTATCATGCCAGATGAGGTTCTTGCGGCGATTAAGGATATGGGGCCATACAAAGCGCCCGAGAAAGACGGCTTCCAACCGATCTTCTATCAGAAGTGCTGGGGCACGGTGGGAGCTGATTTCTCACATTTTGTTGCCACTTGTTTCAGGTACCCCAAGAACATCAAAGCTGTGAATGAGACATTGTTGGTGCTCATTCCCAAGAAGCAGAACCCGATCATGGCCTCTGATTTTCGCCCGATCAGCCTTTATAATGTGTCCTACAAGACGCTTACCAAGGTTCTGGCGAACAGACTGAAGCCGTTGATGGCAGAATTGGTCCACCCAACGCAAATGAGTTTTGTGCCTGGTCGTCATATTCAGGATAACATTATTATTTTGCAGGAAGTGGTCCATTCTATGCATTTGAAGACAGGGAAAGTGGCGCAAATGGTCCTCAAAGTCGATCTAGCTAAAGTTTATGATCGACTAAGCTGGAAGTTTGTGGAGAAACGCTGGTGGCCGCGAACCTCCCGGACACCTTTGTGCGGGCAATGATGGCGTGCATCTCTACCCCTACTTTTGAAGTTCTTTTGGAGGGGAATGTACAGAACCGTTTGCCCCGACACGCGGGTTGAGACAAGGGTGCCCTCTTTCCCCTTACCTGTTTACCCTGTGAGTAGAACGCTTGAGCCACCTGATTCAGGAAGCAGCAAATAATGGGAGGTGGAAGCCTATTCAGCTAGTACGCGGGGGAACACAGCTCACCCATTTGTTCTTCGTAGATGACCTCGTTCTATTCGCTGAAGCCACAAACCAACAATGGGAGATCATCATGGAGTGCCTCAACGCGTTCTGCGAGGCCTCTGGAGAGCAGGTAAGTAAGGAAAAGTCGATGATCTACTTCTCTAAGAACTTGCCAAGAAACCAGTGCAAGGCCATTAGTGAGAGCATGGAGATCCCAATGACGCAAGACTTGGGGAGGTATCTGGGAGTTCCTGTCCTGCATGGCCGGGTCACCAAACATACCTACAGGTACATCATTCAAAAAATTGACCAACGTCTTGCAGGGTGGAAAGCTGGGAATCTCTCAATCGCGGGGCGGGTAACTCTGGCACAATCGGTGTTGAATGCCATATCGTCGTATGCCATGCAAACCGCAGTCCTGCCGGCCTTCATATGTGACTACATTGATCGGAAAATAAGAGGGTTCATTTGGGGTTCCCAACAGGGACGAAGGACTTCGGAATGCACGGGATATGAATGTTGCGTATTTCGTAAACTGGCCTGGCACATGCTGAAAAATCCGGATGATCTGTGGGTAAGAGTTGTAAAAGAAAAATATTTAAAAGATGGGCCTAACGGAATTGAACTGCGTAGGCAGTCGAGTGTTTCTGTCTTTTGGCGTGGTATTCGTAGGGTTTGGAATACAATGCTGGAAGGTGTGAGATTGAGCATTCGGGGCAGACTCATCACTTCTTTCTGGTTCGATAGCTGGCTCGACAGCGGAGTGATCCTCGGGGACGTGGCGCAAAATGTTGACGAGAACTTCCCCGCCGAAGCAATGGTGGCAAGCATGGTGACCCCGGATGGCACGTAGGACATACCATCTCTGGAGAAATATTTACCTAACGAATTCCTTTTGCAGCTTACAGGGACACCTCCTCCAAAGGTGCATTTGGGCAAAGACATGTTGGTTTGGGGACTAGAACCAAATGGCGCCTTCACTTTCAAATCAGCGTACTGCTTGATGGCGGACATAGACCGTGACAATGGGGATTCGGATTGAAAGACGATTTGGCGCTGGCCGGGACCGAATAGAGTGCGACACTTCCTTTGGATCGCCTCCCATAACCGGCTCCTCACCAACTTGGAAAGACGGCATCAGCACCTCACGGCAAGCAACTGATGCCCTCGTTGCTCGAATGACGGGGAGTCCATCCAACATATCATGCGAGACTGCAGCTTAGCTCGAGAAGTTTGGCGGCGTATTCTCCCTGAGGCAACCCGACCAGACGAGACACACAAACCATTTATAGAATGGGTCCTCTCATTCCTCAAGAACCCGAAGCTCCAGGTACGTTTCGGTCTCACTTGTTGGTTTCTCTGGCGTTCGCGCATTGATCTCGTTTTCTCAGCCATTGTGGCGGACCCCAATAAGTTATCGCAAAGGACCCTTGCCTGGGAGGTCATCATACAAAACAACATGGCAGCGGATGAAGCTATATCACTGGGGAGGTCGGGGTCCCGTCAAAGCGTGGGCGTAGGGTGGAGACCGGCCCCGAGAGGGTGGATCATAGTGAACTCGGATGGCTTGCTTTTGCGACCATCAAGGTCTACCACTGCAGGAGGGGTTCTTAGAGAACTGGCAGGGTCGCTTATTGGGGGGCCTAAGCAATGAACCTGGGGAAATGTATGATCACTCGCGCGGAGCTATATGGAGTCTCACGAGGCCTGGAGTTCGCCTGGGATGCCGGTCATAGACGAGTATCGATCCATTCCGACTCCCATACGGTGGTGGCGCTTCTGACAGACACGAGCGAGGTGAGCAGCCAACACGCCGGGCTCATTCTGGCTTATCGAGCCCTACTTGCTCGGGATTGGGAGGTTTCCATTCATCACATCTATAGGGAAGCCAACTTTTTTGCTGATTGTATTGCCCACAAGGGGCATCTCTTGCCCCTTGGCACCCATAACATTTCTATCTCCGACCTGGACGTCTGCCATTGGGCATTGTATGACCTGATGGGGGTTCCTCCTTTCGATTGATTAATAATTAAGAGGTAGTGGTGCTCTGCACCCATTTTCCACCAAAAAAATATATTTTTGTTTAATCAATATTATTAATTATATATATATATATATATATATATATATATGTGGAGTTCTACGATACCCCGGGTGAAATTCGCGGTACCGCATACCTTAAGTAAGAAAATGCTCTATAGAACATGAATTGACTGATCTTTCGGACATTATACTATACCCTAACCCATAAAGATCAAATTTTAGGTCTTAATTCTCTAAATCTTATACCCCAAGATCAATTTAATTAGAAACAATAATCGACGGTTATGATTCGTCTATATATAGGCAAAAAAAGTAATGCACCATCTTAGGGTTTATAGTTTATGATTTAGATAATTAGGATCTATGGTTCACTCATTAAGGGTTATGGCATAGTATCATGCCCAAAAATCCTGCTAATTCGAGGTCTAGATAGCGTTTTTATACTCAAGGTATGCGGTACCTCGTCTATAAAAATATTAAAAGGCTTTAAGATTTTGATCACTGCCACATCAGCCTTAAATGAAATCCATGCTCCCACGTCAGCACGCTAAAAAACAAAAACACAGTTCCGTTTTTTTTTTCTTTCAAATCCCTCAACAGTAGCAACGTTTGGTTTTTTACAGTAGCAACGTTTTTTTTTTTTAAAGCAACCACTTCCTCCATTTTCTCCTCTTTCATTTAAGGCTTTGGCTTTTACAGTAGTACCCAATAAAAAATGTAAAACTTGACAGAGGGTGGGGTGGGACTTGGGAGGCTGGGAGCATTTTGGATAGATAATTTTATCTTTATTTTAATCTTAATAACATTTAAATTAGCATGTTTCACTTTGTAATTCATATTATTTGCTTCTAAGGAATATGGTATCGAACCGAAGTATAGGGTAGTATAGTGGAGAGGAAAAGACCGTTTTGAATCGATGTTTACAGTGAATGTTCTCAGTCATTTTGTTTATGAATGTTTGGGGATATTCAAAAATATTATAATATATTTTGAATTTTAGGCACGAAAAAATCATAAACTACTTATTTTCTCAAAATAGACTTCCTAATTTCAAATTTGCTCAATTCTTATGCATTCACGTTAGCCTTATTATGGTGTCATTTTATTAATTTAAAGATTCTCTACAATAAAATTAACCAAACATATAAAAAGCATTAGTAGGGTTTTGAACCCACTAACTCCAAATCGTAGGGTATAGGTTGTTAAGGTATTAAACTATTGAGACAAACTTCATTTGATGATTTTAGTTTATTGATCACAACATGATTGGTTATTTGGTGCTATCATATTATCATATCTTATACGCAATACTTTCACTCTATCAATAAAACCAATCTTAGATAAATGTTACTTAAATTCAATAAATCTTATACTAAAAGTATATTTTTATGTTTAAAATAAAAAAATTATATCATAAATAAAATCAAAATAGTAATAAATTTAAATATTATATGAAATAATTAATAAAAATATCTACCCGGCCAATGGCATAGTATCATGCCCAAAAATCCTGCTAATTCGAGGTCTAGATAGCGTTTTTATACTCAAGGTATGCGGTACCTCGTTTATATATATATATATATATATATATTAAATTCCTCAATTATCATCTTCAATTCCAGACGGTTGTTTCATTTTCCTCTTTACTTTAGGGTTGTCTCCCGTCGCTGCAATCTTGTCCTCGTTCTCCCGCCGTCTCAATTCAGGATTCCACACAGATGCTGTCCGGCAATAATGGTGCCCGCTGCTTCCGATGGATTGCTTTGCAGAGTTTATTAAAATCGTTCATCAATTTATATATGCATATATGCATGATGATCAACTGGGAGTCAGCAGTTAGGCGCAAAATTAGCTTCTGGCGAAGAGATGCGGCGGAGTGATTGTACAACCGGGGCTTTCTCTTCTAAGATCTAAAACCTCGATCAATCAATTGTAGGGAAAGCTGCGTTTCTCTCTATCGTTGTTTATCGGCTAGACTTATTCCACCCAATTGATCAATTGCACGCTGTGCCTGATTTTTCACCATGTAGGGTGGAATTTCATAAGTTTTGAGAAATTCATTTTGAAATGAAACTTTTTTGTGTTTGGTATTTAAAATAATTCATTTCCAATTCTAAATTCTGAATTCTATGGAATTTGTATTAGTTATAGCAATTTTAAGGAATTGAGATGAAATTTACAAATAAATTCCACAACTATTTACTAATTACCACAGAATGACATAATTATCCTCTTTATTAACTAGATTACTTATATATATATGACATACCAAATATAGAAATTCTTTTGACAATGAATTGTATACGATATTTCATTTTATTTCTAAAGATTTGAATATGACATACCAAAAATAAGATTTCATTTGACAATGAATTCTACATGGTAATTCATTTTACAATGAAATGAATTCTTGATTCATTTGGTACCAAACGGCCCGTAAGTGTCAATTCGTCGTCCACCAAGACAAAAGAACGGGATAATTATTTAACCCTAAAAGTAATAATTATAGCTAAGCATGGACCATTTATCGCGGAATTTAGTCAGAATAGGTGCGTTGTTTTAGATATGATATATATTCATCTGCTGACATATATGAGATTGGGCTATTAAAAGCCTAATGACCCAAGTAACTTTCATAGTCTTCTAATTATCTTCCTCTTCAATTCATTGCCATATTTTTGCCGTCCAATTATCATATGCCAGTAACACCCGTGGAATACTTCTACTCTCATTGAATTTCTAAATTCCCCCTGATCCATCAATGTGCTTCGGAGTTGGAACTACAATGACCGAACTCCCAGCCAGTGGAAGAGCATCCTTTGGTACTTCCAATGGATTCTCCTCCTCTCAAGCTCCTAGTAATAATATTGCTCGTGCAGTGAATTTCCGTTTTCCCTTTGCGGTGATCAAAGATGGCAATATTGTGCCAACTGTTCTTCCAGATTCTCTTATTAGCTTTCGTGCCACTAGAGCGCATCTTCCATCAACCAATTCCATTTCTAGGTTCGTTCTCTTTGCCTTACAGTAGCTGCAATTCAATTCTTCTAGCAAACATTGCATCCATTCTGTATTCTAGGAAAGACAAAATCATTTCCTTTGGTGATTGTTTGGTTGAGATAGTTACAATGTATGTATTGTCAACAATGCATTCTTTTTTTGAATTTTCTGCACAAACAATACATGCATTGTTTGCTTGATGTGATGGAAACTATCACTCAAAATGAGTGATAGTACTATCTCTAATAAAACTTGAGATTTTTTAGATAGTTTTGAGAAGATTGTTGAGTTCCTTTTTTGTTCCAAGTACACATTAGTTATATATATATATGTTCTCATAAAAGTAAGGAAAAAGTGATATTTCTCACAAAAAGTATTATAACATGTTGAATACTAAAAGAACTATCACCAAAACCAAACAATATAAAGTAAATTACATCATTTTTCTTAATTGCATGTATATTACAATGGATGCATTGACCACAATGCATTGATTTAAGTATCACCAAAACCAAACGACCCCAAGTATTATATTTGGTGGATGAAGAAAATTTCGTATTTTAGAATAAAATTAACTAACACTCTTGTGGACAAAAGTACAAATATCAAAGTAAGTAACCCAACTAACAGAAACATGATCCATACTTAGATAATTGGAAAAGTATATGAGACAGAAGCTTAGTAACAATCTCTACTTTTCCAAGTTGAACTATCATAATTGAAACAAACCTATCAAAATTGACTAAAAAATATATCACTTATTAAGTACTTAGCATAATCTACTAGAATAACCAAAGCATTAAAATCACCAACTTCAATCATTAGCTTGAATGGATTACTCCTCTTGGAAGATAAAAGGGTCCAGAAGTTTTTTGTTAATTTTTGTCAGTGCACTTAATTATTCGACTTGCTATCCAGCAAAACTTACTAGTCATGAAAATAACAGAAGCTCCATCAGATTCATTAACAATAATCAACTGAACCAAAAAATTTAGCCGCACCCTGGACCAAAAAGTAATAGCATTCTTTACTTGCGCATCAGCAATGTACACACTGCCTTGTAATGTGAACCACAAAATATTTATATTAATCATCTTGAGGGTGAAACCTGAAACCTTCGTTGGTGAAAGGAAAGCTTTAGAGACATTACTAGGGTTGATGATTATTGTATAACTTGTTGATTATGTTGTTCATTGCAAAGAAAACAAAATTTTCTAGGAAACAAATAAAAGAAGGTAAATTAACACGGAGTGTGCAAATTTATTACTTGGTTGTTGTTGTTGTCAGTCTTGTAGAGATCCAGTTTCCAAATTGAGCGTATGGTACTTATCCCTAGAGCTTCTATTGGTGATTGTGCTGAATAATAACAAGAGAAAATGATACTTATCACTAGAATGGACAACATTATCACATTAGCAAACATATACCATAACATGATAAAAAATAGGCCTAATTCCAATATGAAGTCCAAACTATTAAAAAAAATGTCATTTGTGTACTAAACTATTCAAAAATGATAGTATTTAAATATTGACAAAAATGATAATACACTTAACGTGGATGGAATGTCTCCAACATTGTTTTAACAGTTAGAGAAAACAAGATTGCAACATCTATGATAAAGTTGAACTTCTCTCATGAAATCATATTTTCCCTCCACCTTTGCCAAGTTTTCAAGCATGAAACTAATGTCCTCTTTCATCACCTGTTCTTCTTTGAAATTGCCACTACACATATAAGCAGGATTAAGAAACCAGCCATAACAAGTACTGTATGAATGATATTCTTCTTTCTTCTTTTCTCAACCAAAATTTCTCCTTGTCATTTTTAGAACGTTGTATGATTGAATCTTTGGCCAATTTGGCCAATTTCGTTGCTTCATACAAATATCATGTTGTAGATCCATCACCAACTACTAAACGAAGCACCCAAATTAAATACTCAATGAAATTCAATACTTCGAATCTGTAACTCCAACTCAG